GTGTTTCTGTCGAGGAACTATCGGCTGATAGTTGCCCCGCGGAAATTTGATGTTCTTAAAACAAATATGCTAGTTTTAAGAACATCAAATTTCCAAAGGCAACTATCAGACCGATAGTTCCGAGATTGTCTTTATTGTTCACCACTAAATTTTCTTCCGTGCGCCAGTTCAAAAATCAATTGAATTATTTCCAACTTTTTGAGATGAAAGCCGTGAAAGCCAAAGGTAAAATTTGAAAAAGAAAACAAACAAAAACCCTCTTAATACAAATTCAATTGTTTATTTTGTATAAGCCCGCTTGTTTACAGAAATATTTTCACGGACGAGTACTATCCATCCGAGTGTTTTCCTCGGACGGGCACTATGGGCTGATAGTGTCTCTCCGCAGATGAACACTATCGCGTCACGTGATCAATTAATCCAATAAGAATCGGAGAATATTTAGTGGTGAACTATAATCTGTGATAGGTAGTGAGTAGTGCAGCAGTGTGCCCTTGTTAACAAAATGATGGCCGCTTGGCGTTTTCGAAGTGTCTGTGGAGAGGGGTTAGATAAATCTTTGAACGACTAGTAGATTTATACTAAAACAATTAGATTATTCGCTCGAGATTTCTATGCGTGATAGTTGACTCGGGCGCGATAGAAATCAACCTCGTTCCCAGGGTCTTTTCCCTGGCTTGGGGGTGGGGCGACCCCCAAGCCAGAGAAAAGACCCTGGGAACGAAGTTGGATAGAAATCTCGAGCGAATAATCTAATTGTTTAATAGAAACACGATTTTAAACCAATCAGCGTGCGTATATTCTTTGAGGTATTTTCTAATGTTGCTTTTGAATGTTGTGTTTTCCCATTTTCCCTTCACTCCTTGATTGGAACTAAAGGGCTGTACATTGCAGTTATATGGGCTGCCAAGACCGTTAAACCTAGGCCTCAGTCATCTACTTTCGTTTCTGTTGTTTATAGTCATCATAAGCACCCTAAAAATCTAGGAAGAGAATTTAACCGTGGACATTGCCTCAGTCATAGCGGAGCTCCGGCGGCCCGAAGGCCGCCAAGCGGAGCAACATACCCATACAGGAAAGAAAAGGGAACCCATGAATTGATTTTCTCATGGTTATCATGGTTAGCCGTGTTGCTCATGGGCACGTACGCACGACGACGACGGCGAAGGTGCCCAAGATGGCTGCCATACTCCCGGCTATTAGGTTAACAGAGGCATGCAGCCTTGGTTTATGGCGTCCTTCTTTGATATTGGACATCCATGTTATGGTCAATTGACACCTGTCAAAACAAGGCATCCGCTGGACAAGTATCACGACCATATCGCGGGCTCAAGTTTAGAGCTCATCGAGGTCTCGTGTCTGTTTTTTTCGCGTGCTCATGTCGGATGAACTTGTTGTAAACAGGGCTGGGTTGTTGGGACGCCGGTTAACGCTAACCCAGGATTAAAAGTTAACCAAAGTTAAATTTTTCTTGTAAAAAATGTTTAACTGGTTTTGTTTTTTGTAGTTTTTGATTATTCAAAGTCAAAATAGCCAATACACAGAAAACCTCACCGCAAAGTCACAAAACTCAAAATATCAAACTTCTCGCTTATCCTGGGTTAGCTTAATCGGGCTTTGAACAACCCGGCCCAGGAGCTCCGTTTTTAGGCTTGGCTAAATCTATATATTAATTTTTTCATGGACATTGCCTCAGTCATTATGTAATCTTTTTCTGGCTATGGCATTGGGCTCGCTGTCACAGGGGAATTGAAAGAATGCGGGCTCTCGGGCTAGGACAGGTAGTTGTTAGCTTACTGGCGGATCTGCACGGGCAACACGCAATCGTGTTGAGGTTTAGATAGTAGAACAGCTATTTTAGTCATTTACCTACGGTTTTCTACGTTTACGTTTACGCCCAGGACATATCAATATAATAAGGTTTAATTTATTTAGCATATGGGGATCAAACTGAAAACTTCAGGATTTCCTTTAACCTGACTTGCCACACACCTCGATAGTAAAGTTGAGGACCACCAAGGAATTCACAGTAATTAGCAGTAATTCCACCTCTTCCTTCTTGCAAACGAAGTATGGTAAATGGGAGTTGCTTCCTTATAAAGTTCTAATTTGATGGACTGTAGGCTTCTTTTATAATACGTGCGCAGAGGAAACGAAAACATCATTTATCTCTGAAGGTATTCGTATCTTCCAAATGGTTCTGAAAACACGGTTGGGAATGTAGAAGGCATCATTTGCACTGAAATACGTATCTTGCCCCCGGCGTTACAAATGTACTCTCTTAGTAATGAAAGGAAATTATCAAGAGCTAAATTAATTCTTAAACCACTTTTTCCGACCTTAACCACACCCAGGTGAAATTGACGTCACCCGCCGTCACCAGCACGATCCCAGTGAAACTATGCCTTTTAATTATCATCGTGAAACGAAGAATTTCCCCTTACGAGGTTTAACGCTTTGTGCTTGAAAGAATAATGTACGACACTCTTTTGAAGTGGCACAGCACATTGTATTTTAGAAATGATGGTTGCACTTTGACAAGAGGACTAGGAAAGTATTTTTTGTGGTGGGATTAGTTCCATGTAAAATGTATTAAAATTCCACTATTGCGCAATAGCGATAGAGAGGTCTGCAGTGAAAAGCACTATTCGTTTCTTTTTCCGCTCTGTTGTAGATTAACAAGGAAAACGTCTTTAAATATAAAATTGATAATCTCCTTCTTTTCGGATTGAAAATCAGAAACAACGTCGATTTAATTGTTTTTTTTTTTAATTCTTAATGTCTTATAAAACGCAACATGGCAAATCTAGTTGATAAATAGGGGCAACATTGCGATTGCCTGAATGCAAAAAGGATATTTCTAATCTCCGGAAAAGTGCCTTTATTCCATTAAAAAAACGAGCCCACGATTTCCGACAGTGGTTACTAGGCAACACGATGAAGACAAGCTGCATTATGCAGCGACAACTGACGCCAGTTTTCGTTCCTAATTTGACTTCTTCCGCGACTTTTTCGGAAACGGCATTTTTACTCCCGACTATTTGTAACTAAACGTTTCTAAACGTTATTTTACAGTGACGAATTGGTTTCAGAGCTCAGAGTCTCTTGTCAGTGGTTTCCTGATCATGGACTTGAGCGTTTCCACATCGTCACAGCGACCATGTTGGTGTTCCCAGCAATGACATTTCTCTCCACTGGAAAACGAGTTTGTTCTAATGCCGCAAAAACTTCCTCTTGTTTTGGAACACCAACATGCCACCATGTAAACGCTTAATATCATGGCGCGTCGAGATCGAACGGAACAAAACACTATAAGAGAACAACTTCACCATCACTGTGATTGAGAGCTGCTTTAGCAGAACTCAAATTAATCTGAGGAAACTAATGAAATGATTACATATGGTTAGAATGACAAAGACCCAAAAACAGCTCGCAGTCAAATTTTGTTAGGATGAGGTACGTACTTTTCTAACACTTGAACAATTCAACAGTCCTAAAGTCATCCGACATCAAGCCATGCCGTAACACCAAGCAGATCGTGTCAAACATAATAAGTATGTGTGACAGCCTGACTCCTGGGAAGATAAGGAGAAAAGTTTTTGTTGTAATGAGGTGAGTCCATGCGGATCCAAGATGGCGGACCAAAGGGTGTGGTCTGTCCGTGCAAATGAGGCGGGTTGAGAAAGGGGCTGACTCTTCTTTCCCATACATCATGTTGAGTATCAAGAATGTTTTGGCAGTCAGATCCTAGCCGTGTGTTTCCTACAAATACAAAGGAAAATATTAATAGCCCCGCTCTTGGATACAGCAATTGATGTTAATGAGGTTTGACATATAGTAAATTATAAATAAGGGACCAAGAGAAAATGGACAGTGTATAGCTGTTTAGTGTCTAGATTAAAGAACTAACGCAGAAATTTTAACTTACTGGCGAGGCATTTTAGGCCTTTTTGTGTTAGTACATCTTTTTTGTCTTCATAATTTTTCGAAAGATCAAGTGCTCATAGCTAGTGATTTCACTTCCTCAGAATGCACCTGTGCCGATTTTTTTCTCTCAGGAAGGGGTCAAAAGAGTTGAACGGGACATCAGACGATTGTCTAGTAGCTTTTAGTTTACAATACTTCGCCAGTTTTTGTGGCGCTTCAAACGTTTAGTGTCAGGAGATTTTGTTCCTATGATTTGCCGTCATATTATTTTATCTCCTGATAATACTATTTTCTCTTTTATCCATCGGTGTACAGTTTTGTTTTACGCGCAGAGGTTGCTATCCACTCGCCCTGGCCCTTCAACACTAAGCCCCTGACACTCTAAAATAGTCTTTACCCTAACTACATAAAAGATAATTTAATTACTTGCTTTGCAGTTCAAATAATTGTCATTTCCCCCTTCATACCTTGAAATCTTGCGAGACCAGCAAACATGTGATGACTAAATTTCTCGGCGTCGTTTTGAGTTCCATCTTTATCCTTTAGCAATCTGTCAATGGAGAACCTGTTAAGATCAATATTTCCCTTGGCTAATACGTCTGAGCTGGACTTGACAAGAAGATCATTATCAACACCAGATCTTAAGTTCTTTCTGATTTCATCTGGTGTTGTAGGTAGCTTATCCTCGTGTCCCTTTACGGAAGAATTTTGAGAAAACTTCTTTCCTTTTGTTCGAGGTTGCCGCTTTCGTCTTCGCCTAAAATGACCGTCTTCACTGACATATTCCTTCAGCGAATCCAACAGAACTGTCCAGTAGTTATCCTTTCCCCATGGCCGCGACGGATCCTTCAATATTTTCACGAAGCACTTGTTAAACGAGAGGTTGTGTCGCACTGAGTTCTTCCAACCCTGGTACGTTCCGCGGAAGAACTCGTAGTTCTCCACGAGGTGTTTGTTTATCTCTGTTAGTGTGAGCTTCTTGTTAGGCGAGCTGAGGATAGCTGTTGTTATGAGCGCAATGTAGGAGTGTGGAGGCTTGGGTTGATCTGTCCGCCGGCGGCCCTTTCTGGTCTTCAGCAATCCCTCAGACATCTTTCCGTGGTGTTTTACTTGCGGATTATAGCTAACACGTCTTTAAGAGGCTCTTCACCGCCTTATATCAGGAACTGTGTACGCGTTATAAGTAAGCAGATCAAGCCGCTTGTTTACAGTTCTGTTTCAATACACAAATGACGCTTTTATGCTCATCGTGCTATTGCACAAACACAGGAAGCTGTCAAGCTTGCACACCACCCACAAAGTTTAATTAAAAACACGCTGCGTTTACACACTACTGTTTAGAAGAAATGCCGTAAGTGTCTGATGAAATTCTATACCTCTAAGCCGCTTAATTCATTCGCTAATGCAATTACATCTTCCTTAGTTTTCTTATCCCGTCTGCAATTTATTTATGCAGTGGTTTTAACCGTGCAACAGATAAATTGACAATTGTTGAACTGTTAGGTGGGTTGCCAGGAGAACGCTGACTTTAAAACTAACGATAGATTAAACATGATATTTTTGAATCATCAAATCATTTGTCATTTGGACTGAAAAAGCAACAGACCTTTTCATGAGCAAGTTTGAAAACAATTAACGCTAATCTCCAACAGCGATGTAAAGTTCCTTACTTCTCGTTGTATCTTTCTATAACAAGTTTAAATGATCATGAGGTAAGGTTTGAAAATGAACTTATCCAGACGGGCCTGATCATTTCCAACATGAAAACAAATACTATACGGTACTTCGAAACACAGAATCTCTGGTACAGTACAAAAAGAAAATGTGTGAACAGCGATTACAGAATTTCCGTCGTTATGGTGTGGAGGAAAAGCGGGCGTGTTTCCTGTCCTTGTTAATTACTTTCTTTAAAATAAATGAATCGATTATCGTTATCGAGTTATCGCAGACCATATCCCCCACGCCTTCTTAAAGATTTTGTTCTTAGAATGTTATAGCAACACACGTGATAGAAAAGGTTGAGAACCGATTCCATCCCGGACGGAAATCCTGCTCCGAAATTGTTAGGAATAAACTCACTTGATTACGTTTATAACTAATGTTTACAAGAGATTATGATCTGGATCATTGTCTCTTGGTGCTTACTATCGATATATATCTTCAAGAAATAAGCCAGGGTTGGCCAGGGATTTTAGATATATGACATACAGGGGGATTTTAAATCGTGTATTAGGTATTTGGAAGCCAAAATTGGGCCTTTCACTGGGTGTAGAGTATGTCTTGTCAGTTTTTGCAAATTTTGGTATTTCGCATGAATTTGAGGGGAAATTTTGGGTATAATGGGTTTCTCTTCAGGTATATTAGTATACCTCTACCCTCCATGACTGATCCTGATAAGTGCAATATCTTTCACTTGCACTGCTACTCGGGGTTTATGTGATTTTCAATGCTGTTCTATAACAGTTCTTGTTCAAATTCCTTACACGTAGAAAGAAACCTTTTTCATTTGAGCAACCATTATGCGATCGCATTTAGCTTATCCTTGGGCAAAGTCGTTTTTTCTCGTTCCGTTTTTCAGTATCAGCGATGTAACGAAAAATTGACGAAAAAAAAGATCGACTGTGTTCGGTTACCATTGGTCAACGGTTCTCCCTATTTTCAAAGAGGATGCTTTGAACTTTTCTTGTTATCTCTATTTTCTTTGTCTGGAGTATCAATTTATTGCATTACCTGGGACTATATATTTCAACACCAGTTTAACAATTCTAATCTTCAGTGAGTAGATTTGAAAAATATATTAGTTTTATTTCACTTTCTGGATTTCTAGATCTGTATATTGTAGGTAGGATAGGTTCTTGATTTTTCTCTTGCATTCTGTTTTCGTAAGCAGTATGCACTACAAAAGAATTGATATGAATGCGCGTTTTTGTTTGTAAACTTCTGCATTTCAGTATATGCTCTTGTAAATTCCAGCGAAAAAAGGAACCAAAGAAGAAATAATTTATCATGTTATGTCAAGGATAGGATGAGCTGTCGTTATTAATTAGAGGATACTAAAAAATCCGTTTAATGCTCAACATGACAAGTGTCGCGGGATCAGCCGGTATTTTAGAGGCCTTAGAGGCTGGCAACTTCTCCTTTAAATTACTATATGTTTTAGTGCCAGTCGTGTTGTTAGCTAACAGGAAAATATCTTGTACTATTCACTGAAGAAGGAGATGATGAATTCTTATTCTGGGATTAATCCTACCTGGTTAATCCTACTTAGAACGCAATATCAAGAGAAATACAAGGTAAAAACGTCGATTTAAACAAGCTTTAAACCATGTCTCGCTCTCTGGGACTCACAATGTGTTATGTAAATCTTTAGCGAAGCATTTCCAAAAATGTGCATTCGTTCCTTAATCGAAGGAATTCGATAATCAAGGTTCGTCATTTCAAACTTCAGTCACTATCAGTGAGAAAAGAACAAATGGCCACTCTCGTGCTAACTCGAAATGAAATTAAAGAAGAATTGTGAGACTTCGACAGGCTCGTTGAAAAAATTGCAGATTCCTCTGCAATCTATCAATTCTCTCGATAAGCGAATTTTTTATTGTTTTTGTGTGGGGAAATCTGGAAATATACTGCCGTTCTAAAGTATTAAATCATATTTAAACAGCACTGGTTTTAATTAATCTCTTATCCCGGGATATTCCTCGGAACTTTTGATGTCGGTTTGCTGCTAGGTCTCGGAAACCCTCATCCTGTTTCAGACCACAATGTCAAGACAGATAAGTAACATACAGTTGAGTGTAACCCCGTCAAATTGATGCAGCTCTAAAAACCAAACCCAGCCTTTTTGTGGTTAACATCGTAACTCGTACTTTATATACAGCTCACTCAAAAAGAGAGTTCTCTGGCTTGGAGAAGAGGTGCATGGGGAGTGGATCAGGCTCTCGTGTGTGATCGCAAAGGAGCTGAGCGGCGAGGTCAATCAGCGGATTTCCTTTTATCCCGTGTTAAGGATTTTTATCCAACGAATAGCTTTGAACAAGACAAACGTTTCCAGCAGATTAGATTTCTGTTTCCAAAGACAGTGATATACAGAAAAGGAGAAAGTTTCACGTGCGATTTGCAAACCTTTTTACCTTAGAATGCAACCCGAGTTGAAGTTTTTGAAGCACCAATTGAAAAACAAAAAATACTTGTGTGGTGATGGATTTCAGTAGAACGATATAACCGAACACCGGATGTGTTATTCCCTTGAAAACTCTGAAACCCTAGCGTCTACACCCTAATGACAAACCTTGTTTAAACCGGCCGGTCAGTTGTCATTGTGTAAAAACATTTGCCGAGCTACATTGACGACAACAACGCCGGGTTTATTACAATCTTTATTTGTGATTAACTACAAAGTTCTCACAGTGCACGGTGAAGGAAAACAAAGGTCATTAGGATCCAACACGCCAAAATCAGTTGAACGAAAACGCTTAACCTGGGCCGGGTTGTGCGAAAGCCAGTTAGCGCTAACCCAGGATTAGACGTTAACCGAAGTATCCATTTTCTTTATATTTCAAACTCAAACCTGAAGGAAAAACAATATAAACAGGAAACTGCACCCAAAAGTTGCAAACCTGAAATCAAAATTCTCGCTAATCCTGGGTTAGCTTAACCGGGCTTTGAACAACCCGGCCCTGGTTTCTAAAATTGTCAACGAAAAATTCGCTTCTTCCATTTAATTATAATGAAAATGTAGGCAAACAAAGTCAAAAATACTCAATGAAAATGAAGACAAAGTCAAAATACTCAAGTTTAAGTAAACATCTTAACTCGGCAAAAGACGGTCAAAGGCTCGAAGTAGGGTTTGGATTGTTCAGAATAATCTCCACATTGCCGAAACTTAAACAAAAGGAACTCGCACTAAACTCGACGGAAATGAAACTGCACACGTCATTTTATTGAGTACGGCCGTGCGGACGGCCGTGAATACATAAAGATTTTGTTCATGATGGCTCAATAGGAATTAGGTAGGACTAGCGCGCGCTATGTTATAAATGTGGCTGACGCATAGTGCGGGAAAAAGCGTTCGAGCGCGCGAGTCACGATCAGTTTTGGTTTTACTTCTGATCAAATGACAAGGTGACGTGAGTTTAATTTTCTAAGCCAGTCGCGTAGCGTTCTAAAGCAAAACAAAAGCAAACGCGAATTACTTTCGATAGTCAAGCAGGCACTGGTCTATAACGAACATCAGGTCAAACTTAACACATTTCTGGGACCTTAGACTAGCCATTGTATCTAGGTTGCTGTTGAATACCTTAAATTTTGAGCACTTGCTCCTTTTAGAAGAAGTTGAGGATATAACAACTTTGTTTATAGTATAAGGAGGGACTTAATAGGTTTTCGGGTCGACGAATTTGGCCTGAAAAAGCGCACGGATTGCGGATTTTTGCGGTATATCGAGCGGATTCGTGGATTTTGAAAACACAGTGGATCGTGGATCAGCTGTGAATTGTGGTGCGGATTCCGGATTGTGTCTGTCTTAATGTTCGGATCTTGGGTTCTAAACGAAATTTGGATCATAGATCTTTCTTCAGCCTTGGTCGGTGTGTTAAATTCATCCAAATTATTTATTCTTTACTCTTTGTGCGAAATTAACGGTGGCATTCACATTTACCAGTTTACTTTTGAATTTTTACATTTTGGTTTGCGGATGTGGTTGTGGTTTCGGATTTGAACAAAAATATTTGTGGATCGACGGATTTGGCAAAAAAAAAAAAGGCACGGATTGGCGGATTTGCATACCCCTATTCACCCCCCTCTTAAAGTCTCGTCGTATTTGATTTGCTGAGATAAAAATGCTGTTGAAATAAAAGAGTGATTGAATAAAAGAACTCTTGATAGTCGTCAAGCTTCGGTAGGCAAAAAAAAGTTGCTAGCTGCTTGGTTTTTGTTGGAAAAGGGCGGTTTACTATAATTTTAATTGGGTGTCAAAAGTAATCCATATTTGCTTTAGATTTTACGTGTTTAAAGAACTAGTACTTGCTACTCAGCCAATCAGATGCCAAACTAAACCCTTCGCGCTTCGGCTGCAGGGATTTTCCCGTGCTTGCGCCGGTTACCTCTATCTGCTTCGTATTCTCATTGGGTTCATTTGTTTACTTAAGTCTTTGTGATTGACTGTTATGAACGCTTTGGTTTTAGTTTTATGCATACTTGATTGAACACAGCTCCGCCATAACGAGTTTTCTATGCATTGCCTCTTTTTGGAAAAATTTAGGTAACAACCACAACGTCATTTATAACAATGTTGCGACGCATGCGTTGAAAGGAGATTGACCCTGATCCCAAACCTAGAAAGAAAGGTTGTGGTTAGCAAGGTCTTTCGTTTTGAGCAAGGTGCAATTTTTATGTTTAGTACCTTATTTTTTTTTTTTTTCTTTTAGTTAAGTGTTAAGGTCGCAATGATTGCAACCGCTGTTGTTTAAATTGTATCGTCTTTCAGAAGTAAACAAGTCGCCCCCTATCTTAGGTATGTTTGTAAAATGAAATACCCTATATCCTGGATCATCTTATTCAAACGTCCTTACCCACCCACCTCCCGAAAGCTAAGCTTGTCGTCTGTGAACGTACCATAAATTTTGCAACTGAAACAAAATCATTCGCTCTTTATTAGCGGGGTCGTTGTTCCTTATTATATGTTCACAGTAATCATTACTGTTTTAGTTTTAGTTTACAAAAGGTTTTGCAACACTGTATGTCTTCATGGTCATGCAAATAAATCTATTTGTTGTTGCATACAACTGCAACAATTGTTCCTGTTCCAGAACAGTGTGCCCTCATGCTAAGTCCGGAAATTAAATTTTGAGAGAACTGAGAATTTTTTGGTCAACTCGTTGAAAGAAAAGGTCTGCGGTCGATCATTTTCCTCGATAGACAATGAAAATTGATCACACATTTGATAATCAACGATAAATGTAAAGCAGTATCTGAGGCAGTTGTAGTATCTGAATTCCCATTTAAGCAACGAACCATTTATTTTCCAATCTGGACAACTGCATAGTCCTGTTTTG